TATTTATTTTTCATTGTGCCAAAAACTTTTAAAGCTTTAAGCTCTCATGCACACTGGTAACGTTAGCTGTGTAAAGTCACATTAAAAATGTGCGTTTTTCAGCTTTTGTTAGCATTTTTGCATTGCATTTAGCGGCATTTTCTCACATTTGCGGGGGTTTTTATTTTAGCAAACACCCCCACCAAACACACACAACCCCCCTCCCCCCCCCCCCCCCCCCCCCTACACACACACACACCCCAAACACACACACCCAGCTATACCCTGCTTTACTTTTTCAGACTGACATCCACCCATCAAGTTATTTTTATGCCTACCCCTCCAAATGTCACACTACTACCAGCCGTAACCTCCGCAACCTTAACCCTGCCCCCCTCCACTCTGCAGCTGATCAACTCCACGACCGCATCCTCCCCCTGTCCTGCCCCGACTTGGCTATGACTGCCTACAACGCGCTGTCAGCAGCCCTTGACTCACTAGCGCCTTTAACCACACGCAACATCAGACCCCGACCACTCCAGCCCTGGCAGACTGATCACACCAAAACCCTCAAACGACACAGTCGTGCCCTGGAGCGACTATGGCGCAAAACAAAATCCCAACAAGCCTTCACCTGCTACAAATCTGCCTTCCGCACCTACACCTCCTCCCTCCACGCAGCCAAACAAGCCTACTTCCTGACCCTCATCAAGACCCTCTCCTCCAACCCTCGCCGACTCTTCTCCACCTTCAACTCTCTACTCTCTCCACCCCCCCTCCACCCAGCACCTCACTCACCGCCCTTGAGATTGCCAATCACTTCAAAAACAAGATTGACACAATTCGCAAGGACATTGCCGCAACTCACACGCCCTCTCAACCCGTCCCCTCTCACACAGCTACCCCCTCATCCCCCTCCCCCTCGACATTACCCGCAGGGACTTCGTCACTGCTCAAACTCCCTCCAACCCCGTTCCCCCTCACTCAGCTACCCCCTCATCACCCCTCTCCCACGGCCCCCACCACTGCTCTGACCTCCACTTTCACCCCACCCTACATTCCTCATACTGAAGCTCCCCCAACACTCCACACCTTTGACCTTACTACCATCGAGGAAGTCTCCAAGATCCTCTCTGATGCCCGCCTCATCACCTGCCCCCTCGACCCTATCCCCTCACAATTCCTACGACCTCCCTCCCCCTCCATCCTACGCTCCCTCACCCACATCTTTAATCTCTCCCTCTCCTCCGGCACTTTCCCCTCCCCACTGAAGCATGCACACATCACCCCCATCCTTAAAAAGCCCTCCCTGGACCCCAATGACCCGAACAACCTCAGACCCATCTCCCTGCTCCCACTTACATCTAAACTCCTCGAGCGCCTCGTCTACACCCGCCTATGCTCTCACCTCAACGACAACAACCTCCTCGATCCCCTACAGTCTGGCTTCCGTCCCCTACACTCCACCGAAAACCGCCTTACTCAAACTCTCCAACGACCTTCTAACCGCCAAAGCTAATGGCCACTATTCAGTGCTCCTACTCCTTGACCTCTCTGCGGCCTTCGACACAGTTGACCACCCCTCCTCCTCAAAATACTACACTCCCTCGGCCTCAGAGATTCTGCTCTCTCCTGGCTCTCATCCTACCTGTCACAACGCTCTTTCAGCGTTACCTATAATGCTACCACCTCCCCCTCACTCCCCCTCTCTGTTGGGGTCCCTCAAGGCTCTGTCCTTGGGCCCCTTCTCTTCTCCATCTACACCTCCTCCCTTGGCCAACTCATACACTCTCATGGCTTCAACTACCACCTCTATGCCGACGACACACAAATCTATCTCTCAACCCCCCACCTCACCCCCTCGGTCTCTGCCCGAATCACACACCTACTGAGCGACATATCAGATTGGATGTCGCTCCACTTCCTTAAACTGAATCTCTCCAAAACCGAGCTTCTTGTCTTCCCCCCAGCCCGAACTCCACCCCCCATTGACTTCTCCATCACATCCAACAACGCCAATATCAAACCCGCCCTGCAGGCCAGAGTACTTGGTGTCATTCTGGACTCCAACCTATCCTTCCAGCCCCAAGTCCAATCTTTAACAAACTCGTGCAGACTCCACCTCCGCAACATCGCCAAAATCCGCACGTTCCCAACCCCAGAAACCACTAAACAGCTCATACACTCCCTCATCATATCACGACTCAACTACTGCAACTCCCTCCTCACTGGCCTGCCTCGCCGCTGGCTATCCCCGCTTCAGTCGATCCTGAATACGGCTGCCAGACTCATTCACCTTTCCAACCGCTCCGTTTCCGCCATCCCCCTCTGCCAATCCCTCCACTGGCTTCAGATTGCGCAACGGATCAAATTTAAAATCCTAACACTGACGTACAAAGCTGTCCACCATACTGCCCCGAACTACATCACCGACCTAATATCCAAGTACTGCCCAGCACGCACACTCCGCTCCTCACAAGACCTTTCTCTCTAGTTCCCTGGTCTCCTCCTCCCATGCCCGCCTCCAGGACTTCTCCAGGGTGTCACCCATCTTCTGGAACTCCCTTCCCCAACCCATCAGATTATCACCTACTCTCCTCTCCTTTAGGCGCACCCTGAAAACCCATCTCTTCAGGGAAGCCTACCCCCTGCTAACTTGACCGACCTCCTCCACTCTTCCTACCACTCCATCCCCCACAGCTATCTCCTCCTGTACCACTATCCCGTCCCTTCTAGATTGTAAGCTCGAAAGAGCAGGGCCCTCGATCCCCTCATGTTTTGCATTGTATTGGTATTGTTCTGTCACATGTTCTGTCCCATGTTCTGTCCCCCTTTGTAATGTACAGCGCTGAGTGAACTATCGGCGCTTTATAAATACTGTATAATAATAACAATAATAATTTTTATATTTGCAAAAAACTCCTCCCAAGAGCTAGCCCACGGCTTGCATTAGGACCAACTGTCCTAATCCTACTGTGGCAGGATGATTTCAGAAAGCTATAAACAGCACCTTGCCACCAGCTTTGATCTGCCTACATTACATAGAGAAGCACAGACACCCCCAGTGATGATGTTCACTGGGTCTAAAACAAGGTATATAATGAAAACAAAAGGTTTTATTTAAAAAAGTACAATAGCATATTTATAAGAGAAGGGGGTGGAGAGGAGTAACCATGGAAGGCAAAACATAATCCCAACCACATCACCACCTGCCTGGAGTTTGCATGTTCTCCCTGTACTTGCGTGGGTTTCCTCCAGGTACTCTGGTTTCCTCCAACACTCCAAAGACATGCTAGTAGGTTAATTGAATCCTGTCTAAATTGGCCCTAGTATGTGTATGTATGAATGTAAGTTAGGGACCTTAGATTGTACGCCCCTTGAGGGTTAGGGACTGATGTGAATGTACAATATATATGTAAAGTGCTGCGTAAATTGACAGCGCTATACAAGTACCTGAAAAATAAAAAGCAGAATAAAACTTCAGCTTTAACCCAATGTCCAATTGCCTAGGTAAAGCTTCCATCCCCCATCACCCCACACAAATGACATGCTGCAAATGTGCTATTAATGAGTGTAAATCTGACAACTAGGGCTTCGCTCCATTATCTATACCCAGGAAATGTGTGCATTTATTTGATAACCAATTCTGGCAGCAAGGAAGCACACACACCCTCCTACCTACAGCATACTTGTTTTAGACACAAATAATAATTAAGCCTGCATTAAACGTACAATTTTGTCATTCTTACTGATGTTGGCTGCAAATCTACAGTTATTCTTCCTTTTCGTGTTGCAGGAATCGATGACAAGCCAGGATTGTCAGACATAATTAGATCATGGCTACCAATTCTTGGGCGCAGCATAAGGCCCTATTGCACGCTAGCATTTTTCCTGCTCCTAGAAGCTGTCATTAGCATTTTTCCTGCTCCTAGAAGCTGTCATTAGCATTTAGTTCTTGCTGCTAGAAGATAAATAGTGTTATCCTATGTGTTTCTGCACACTACTTTAAGCTATTGGCATATTTGGAGCTTCAGGAGCAGAAAAAAAAAAAAAAAAAAAAAAAAAAAAAGGTTTTTGTAGTTTTTCTGAGCGCCTTTCCAGCAGAAAAAAAAACCTGCTAAACGCTCCTAAAAGCTTTTTTCTACACGTACTGTAAAAACGCTAATAAAAAACACAAAACGCTCCTAAGGCGTTTTTTTAAGCTCCTAGAAGCCATTCGTATTTTTCTTTCTGCTCCTAGTAGTTAAGCTCCTAGTGTTATCCTATATGGCCATCCACACTACATTAGGCCATTAGCATTCTTCGAGCTTCAGCATCCAGGAGCAGAAAAAAAAAAAATGTTTTTGCAGAGTTTTTTTTAGAGCATTGTTTCCAGCAAAAAAAAAAAAAAAAAAAAAAAAAAAAATGCTAAAACGCTTCTAAATGCTGCTAAGCACTACTAAAATGCTCCCAATAGCTTTTTTCCAAGCTTTTTTTTCCCCTCTCAACATGTACTGTAAAAAAAAAATCTAATGCTCCTAAATGCTTCTGAACGCAACTAAAGCACTACTAAAAAACGCTATTACCAGCATTTTTGGAGCTTAAATAAAACACTAGTGCACATGGAGCCTAAAACTGAGAGCAACTGCCTCTCTTTAAAGCCCAAACTCCATTTCTAAATACAATAGGATGAAATAGACGTGGTAACGCACGTGGTCAGAATAGCACCAGTTGCACAGCCCCTGATGTACACAGGAAGATGTCATTTGGCACGCTGGCTTATGAAGGTCGGTGCTCCCTGTGACTGTGTGTAGACTTGGGCTGCCATCTTTTGGCGTGTTACAAAATTAGTACCTTGTGGGCAGGTGGGCGTAAAGTTGATCTACGAACAGGGAAAGGTCAAAAAGTCTGTTTTTTTTCCCCCTTTCCCCCGGGTGTGATCACCAGGACAGGAAGTGAGAATAAAAGCCAACATAAGGACTGGAGCCCTTTAAAATGATACTTTCTACCATCTGAAAATTAAGGAGTCCCTATACATTCACCTTTGTCGGCCAGTGAGAAGGTTCCACTGAAGTACTGCTCCTCTACGTTCCATGAGGTCTCGTTAACTTTGCTTGACACACCGCAGGACCCAACACAGTTTACTTTGATGGCTATGAAGAAAAACAAAAAGGAGACCAGGGTTAGACTGGTGAATATGGTGCTTTAGATAAAAAGATTTCAGCACATTTAATACCTTAGTGCTTCCCATCACCAGCGTATTATAACCACATTTCCCCCGACCCCCCCATTTTGGACAGAGCAGGAAGAGTTAAAAACTGTTTGTTTTTTTACCGAGATCCACTGGGTGATTTGCCTTTACTTCCTGTACCTGTGACAACAGGACAAGAAATAGTTTAGCCCTGGTTCACACTGATGCAGTGCGGAATTCGCATAGTTTTCTGTGCGAATTCCGCACCGCATCAGAATCGCACCCCATTCACGGGAACCGCTGTGAATGTGTATGTTAAGTTAACACCCCAAAAGCGGTATGCAAAACGCGTTGCGATGTGCAGAATTGGATCGCATAGGTGTAAATATCCATGCGATCAGATTCTAGTGTAAACCAAAAAAGGGTTCTGCATGCTTTTTGGTGCGGGTGCGATTAGAGCCATACAAAATGTATGGCTCCAATCGAACCGCATACAAATCGCATGTGAACACGGTGCGGTTCCTGTGTGAATCAAATGCGATATACCGCACTGCATATATGTGAACCCAGGCTGGAACAGTTGTCACTGGGACAGTAAAAACCGGAAGGTTCTTCTTCCAGACAGGAAGGATAACTCTCCCCTATAGGACAAAGGCAATTAAACTGTCAAACCTCTAACCCCTTTTGCTCCATCCAAAACGAAGTTACAAAAAGTTGTGTGTAGACTTCACACAATGCTGCATAGTGGTTCTAATATAAATGCCAGACCCCCTAGTTCAGGGGTAGGCAACCTGCGGCTCTCTAGCAGTTGTGGAACTACATTTCCCATGAGGCATTGCAACATTACAAAACTGACAGTTACAGCTATGACTTGCAGAGGCATGATGGAATTTGTAGTCCTGCAACAGCTGGAGAGCAGCAGGCTGCCTACCCCTGCCCTAGGTAAATAGATGGCACTGTCATGCTGAGAGCAGTCATTGTGGACTTTTTGGGGTTACAGATTTGGGGCTGTCCCACTAATCCTGGTTTCCAGATTTCTCGGCTTACAGGTTCAGCAGATGAGACCACAGGGCTGCATTGGCAATACAAATAGTTTCCACAAAAGTCCTTTTGAAACAACGGACTGGTGTTCACGATTCCCACAGAACCCCACCCACAACGGATCTGGCTGGTGGCAGCATACAGAGGGTTAAACGTCATTGTGCGGCTTCCCCGTCTTCCTGTGGTCTTTTCCAAAGAGCTGAGGGGGAGCGGGGTTCCCCTGGTAACAGAGGAAGCAGCAAAAATCTGCCCTATAAATAGCCAAGCTCTCGGTCTGTGCCTTCACATTATCGAGTCACAGCTGCGATGGGACGATCCACAGGGGGACGATCCACAGGCTCCGGGACGATCCACAGGCTCCGGGACGATCCACAGGCTCCGGGATCACCCAGAAGCCTCTAGTTCAGGGCATCGTCTGCTCATCCCGCCATTGGGGAGGGAGCACCAATACCTGCCAACAGTTAACCAGGCATCCCAAGTATGCCAAATCCACAAACCCTTCTCAGGCTACACAGTAATTAGGAACCCGTCACGTTTTTATGGTTGGTCGCGTCCCCGATGGAGCGATTCATCCTTGCTTTCCTGGTGACTATTGTCAGTGGGATGGAAATTGATGGGAAATCCAACACTTGTCATTGGAAGATTCCCCTCATCTCCTGTTTATGGTGAAAACTGTACAACAACATCTGTTCTGGTGACAAAAGGGGATTGCAACTCACTGTTATCATCTGGACAGGAAGTGAAGAGAAAGATCCCCAATGGGAAAGGATGGGGAAATTTCTCTTCACTTCCTGTCGTACAGACAACAGCAAGCAAGAGGAAATCTCTTGGCAAAAATCCCTCCTTTGACAGCTGTCCCCAGTGGAAGATTTCCTCTCGCCTCCTAAGTAAATCAGGTGAAGTGAGTAAATCCTTGGTGAAAGCTGTCCATCTTGTGTGAAGAGATTTATTAAACAGACCAAGGCTGCAGTCATACCAGTGTTCCCAGAACATGCATAAAGTGGTTGTAAAGGTTTTATTTATCTTCATGCATTCGATGCAAAGACCTCTTTGCAGCAGCAGCCCCCCCCCAATACTTACCTGAGCCCCATTGCGATCTAGCCTTGGCTCTTCAGAGACTCTCCCTCCTCATTGGCTGAGACAGCAGCGGGAGCCAAAATCACAGCCAGTGAGCCAATGAGGAGAGGGGGTGGGGCCAGGACATGGAGAGCAGCAGCTCAGGAGCGAACCTGCTTGGGTGCCCCCATAGCAAGCTGCTTGCTCTGGTGGCACTCAGCAGAAGAAATGAGGGGCCAAAGAGGGAGGATTGGAACGTTATGTTTTTTTTTTTGTACCGCTTGCCAACCGTGCTATAGCCGAAGAACTACAGCACGGTTGTCCATGGATGTCCTCCTAGAACACGCCCCCAGTGGCACTCACCCAGCGCTGTCTGGGATTGCTGTGTCTTAGGTAAAAGGCCACTCAGTCTTCAGTCCATCATGAACGCTGCTGCCAGACTTATCCACCTTACTAACCGTTCTATATCTGCCAATCCCTCCACTGGCTTCCCATTGCCCAACGGATACAATTCAAAACATTAATAACGTATAAAGCCATTTATAACTCTGCCCCAAATTACATCAACGATCTTGTCTCCAAATATCACCCAAACCGTACTCTCCTCGCAAGACCTCCTGCTCTCTAGCTCCCTTGTCTCCTCCTCTCCAGGACTTTTCCAGAGCTAGCCCCATCCTCTGGAACCCTCTACTCCAATTTATCAGACTAACTCCTACTCTGCTCACTTTTAGGCGATCTCTGAAAACCTCTCTCTTCAGGGAATCCTATCCTGCCCTCAGCCAATACTGGAATCTTCTACTTTTCCATCCCCCACAGTTACTACCTTTTGTACCACTAGCCCCTCCCTCCTAGATTGTAAGCTCCAAGGAGCAGGGCCCTCCTATCCCTCTTGTATTGAAATGTATTGTTGCTGTATTGTCTCCCATTATATTGTAAAGCGCTGAGCAAACTGTTGGCGCTATATAAAATCCTGTATAATAATAATAATAATATAAATAATCACATCGGCCTTTTACCACAAGATCAGCTGTGTCCAATGAGACAGATCACAAAGTAAATACAGTTGTGGTTATGGGCAGCACTTTCCTCACTGTCACAGCAAGAGGAAAGTACTGCTGATAACCAGCAAATGTGACAGGAGATCTGCACGGATAATCAGATCACTATCAGTGCAGCATGATCAATGCCTACCAGTGCTGCCTCATCAGTGCAACTTATCAGTACCCATCAGTGCAGCCTCATCAACGCACATCAGTGAAGAAGAAAAAAATTACATGTTTGCAAAAAGTTATAATCGAAACAAAGAAAACACTTTTTTTTTGCTTTTTTTGTTCATAGTGCCAAAAAATAAAAACCCCAGAGGCGATTAAATACCACCAAAAGAATGCTCTATTTGTGTGAAAAAAAAAAAAAAAAATTATACAAAATTCCATATGGGTACAATGCTGCATTACGGCACAATTGACATTCAAAGTGCAACAGCGCTGAAAATTGGCCTGTGCAGGAAGGGGGTGATAGTGCCTGGTAAGCAAGTGGTAAAACACTGCCTTTAGTATCATTTTCAAAAGGCACCACAAACGCGCCCAGCAGATGCAAGTTGTTGCACATGGCAAACCGTGTTTAAAATGTGCAAAGTTCTACACACAAAAATGTTAATGAGCATTAGTGAATTTGTTGCACAGAAGGCATCCCATTCAAGTAAATGGAACTCCCTATGCAGGTCACACAGAAAATGTGCAAAGAAATGCATGTTCCTGCTAGGTGTGAATGGGGCATTATTGTCTATTGGTGTTTTTTTCTAATATTAGATTGTACAAATCCATTATCATTTCCCTTGCAGTTGCAGTCCATTTGCTTTATTTTCCTCCTGTACTGTCATCAATGGGAAGCTTTAGATGGAAGTATGGCACAAAAAAAAAAAAAAAAGTTGCCTTGATTTTTGCAAGATTGTATAAGTAACAACTGTGAGAAAATGCAGAACCAAGCACAATATAACACAGGTCTGGTATGTCACCAACAGGGGCGGACTGACCATTTGGGAACTCGGGCACTGCCCGAGGGCCCTTGGTCAGTAGGGGGCCCCATGAGATGCCCCTGGTACCTTCTCATAGGCTTTTTTGGGTGTGGTTTGAGTGTGGGCAAGGACATGGGCCCCATGATCCCCTGCTGCCCGGGGGCCCCATGAGTTGTCAGTCCACCCCTGGTCACCAATACAATCTTATCCTGAATATACCTTTGTTCTCATAAGGAGTGCAAAAAAAAAAAAAACGCATCAATGCACATATTAAATGAACGCTGGCTTGCAAAACTGCATGCCCTAGCATGCCTGAAAAACTTGCAGAAGTGCCAGCAGTTTAGATCCTAAAAATCATATATTTATGATCTACAAAATATTCGACCATATTCAAACAATACCCAATCAGAAATAACCCAGCACGAATTATCCACCCTTTTCTCAAATAAATCTGCGTGACAAAGATGGCGTCAGATTAAACTCTGTACTTTTCTGCACAATCCTGGCCGTTTCCCCACAGAAGCCCCCATGAGACTAATCGCAGGAAGTTAGAGACTGCACGCTTTGTTACATCTGCAAATGAGGCTAAACTGGTTCACTAAGCAGCACTTATTTCCCTCTCCCCGTTCGACTGGAGCGCCGATATCCTCTGTGACCACCATAGAGAGAGAAGCTAAAACAGGTCTATAGTGTACAGAGGACAGAAAGGACGAGAGTCAGAAGAAGTTCAATGACAGAGCCGACTCATTCCAAACAAAGACATTTCTTTTCCAGATATCGGAGACTCAAAAAAATTCTTAAAATGGACACACACAGTTAAATTTTTGTTTGAATGTTTGTACAGAATTTCAGAAAAAT